CACTCCGAGTTCGAAAGAACAATGATTCTGACTTTGAGGCTACCCTGGAAATACAGACAGTCATGTTTGATTGTTATAAAGGATTCCTGTATCTGCTTAATTGTTTTAATTGTTACCGTAGTAAGGAGACCCAGGTTGGAATCCTCGGTAAGTCTGGAGATTTCTTCTGTCAGGGGTAAAATAAAATCCTCTCATGCACAGTCGTGGCGACAGCACTAGCCATGCGGCCGTAAACCCTCAGGCTCAACCCGGCTGTGCGTGCACTGCAAAAGTGGTATAATAAAAGAAGTAACTGGCAGTTACTGTTGTATGCACCTGACGAGATACCTCGAAATATGTCAGGCAATAACTTGGGCACCCTTGTTTAAATTCAAAACGGGAAATTGTTTCGAAAGAAACCACTAATTAGTCGACTTTTACGACTTGCTTGTTAGGGATCAGTGGGTCTTTTCTTTCTCTCCCCCTCCCTCCTTCCCACATCAGCAGGGCTCAAGAATCTACACGGCGAGCTCTAGAAATGAGACTAAGACATATTATATACTATTATAATTGTATCGCTACCAGTTTTGGCCATTGAAGCATATGGTGCTGACAACATCTGTGTATGAATCAATGGTTATCCATCATGTAATGCTGTGAATATCACGATAGTCCGTCCCCTTTACTTCCCAGAAAAGTTTCTGGCATCTGTTTCACCCTGGTTTGGTCTAATATCCCAGGTTACTGTTTACTCTCCCCTTCATGGCGATTTTACCCTAAGACAAGTAAGTCAGCAGGTGTGCAGGTTGACAACTATGCTAAACAGACATGCACTATCATGCAGAGCGGCTTACATGCTGAAATGGTTAGGCCGTTTGACTAATGAAGTATTCGTCGTTGATTCCGAGCAGGTGTCTTTAGGAACGTCTGAGTGTCGTCGGTGAAGCTATGGAGATTGATGTTTTGTGGTCTGTCTGTCTGTCTGTCTGTCTAACTGTCTGTCTGTCTGTCTAACTGTCTGTCTGTCTGTCTGTCTAACTGTCTGTCTGTCTGTCTGTCTGTCTGTCTGTCTGTCTGTCTGTCTGTCTGTCTGTCTGTCTGTCTGTCTGTCTGTCTGTCTGTCTGTCTGTCTGTCTGTCTGTCTGTCTGTCTGTCTGTCTGTCTGTCTGTCTGTCTCTCTCTCTCTCTCTCTCTCTCTCTCTCTCTCTCTCTCTCTCTCTCTCGCTCTCTCTCGCTCGCTCGACTTCATCTTGTCCATATCACAAATACAGGGCATTTTTGTAATGACTATGCATTGTTCACGAAGATTAATCCTTAATCTTCTTGTTTTGTAACTCGAAATTTTAACACTGATACGTATGGAACAAAGCGTCCGTTAGAAGCTGCCAGATCAGAATAGTATGGCACTTTATTCTGCCTCTCAGTTTTCTTCTTAGGCCAGCTGCCAAAGAAGGCCAAGGGCCTAAGTCCTTTCCGTAACTTATTATAATCTGAGAATTTCATTACTACTCTATTCTCGCTCTCAGGCGCTACAGATCAAAGCCTATTGTTTATTTGTGTTGAAAATGGTGTTGAATGTAATAATTATGTTTAGGATGAGAATACTGGGTTTTTATTTTCCTTTTAACACTACTTGTCCTGTTTGTATCAGTTCATTACATTCAGTTAATGACTTTGCGATTCGCACTGGTATTCATTAGTAAAGGAGTAAGTGACCAAACTTCGATTCCCCAATTTATCAATTTGTCTGCTATAGTTTACCAAATCTATGAACCAAAGCCCTAAAGAATCTACCTATGACCTTGACTCCTACGTCTACCCAGCCTGGAGTGGGTACCAGGAGCATTCTTGGGAAGTAAAGGCGGCCGGTGTGATGCTGACCACATTACCCACCAAGTGCCGATTGTTCAAATCCATTAACCAAAGCCCTAACGAATCTATGACCTTGACTCCTACGTCTACCCATCCTGGAGTCAGTATCAGGAGCAGTCCTGGGAAGTAAAGGCAACCGGCGTGATGCTGACCACATTACCCACCAAGTGCCGATTGTTCTATAAAAATTAAGGTCTAACACTATATTTCCAGTACGTCTAGAGGCGTGGAAAAGTATCCTTCACTTTTCTTAAAATGTTCGTCTTAAGCGAATTTGCGTTTACAAGGTAATTCAGATACAAAGGGTTAAAGTAATCTTGTATGGGTGATTTAAAAAAAAAAAAAAAAAACGTTATATTATCTTTGAAATAAGCAAAAGGGTGTTAGGAGAGTTGTTTGATAAAGAAACAGTCAAAACTCCCGCACCAAAAGCATTATGTAGGAGTAAATTAATTGGGAGCTTCTATTTAAGTCGGAGTAGATCTGCCAGACACGCAGAGAACTAACAGTATGCATACAAAATGAGTCTGATCTGTAAAATGGATGTGCACGCAACACTCGGGTTATGGAAGCAGACTAGAGTTCAAAAGTTGATGAACAACTGCTAGTGAACGCGAAGAAGAAATAAGAAGAGTTCTCCGGCAAATCGTTCAACTTGCTGCGCTGTTTTAAATAATGTTAATCAACTCATTCACTCAAGCAACTCCCCTCGCGTTTGTTGAACTCTCTACAGTATGTACTATTGTTAACCTTCTGCCCCCCCCTCTACCCCCACCTTTCCCCACCCCCATCCAGTAATTACTTCAGCTGAGGTCCTCTCAGTTGTTGCTTTATATCCTTCTTTCTCATAATTTTTATTGTATCTGTTTCAGATGCGATCATTTATTAGCTAGAATAATAAACTTTTAGGATATAATGCGACTAGGTAGCATTCAACCTAGGGCTCAAAGAGTTAATGGTATTCGACTGTTCCCACAGTGCCGGCTAACCGTAAGAGATATTTAAGAAACAGACGTTTTTCTCGCTAGTGACAATAGAAATAAGATGCTAACCCCATATTTTGTTGACTGGTCGCACCAGATAAATGTTGTCGGCATCCCAGGTAATGTCACTTCCAAAGCATTTAGTGCCCACTATAGGCAGCGTTGACGATAGGCACCAGACACGGTTGTTTTTTTTTTGTTTTTTTATTCCACCCCATCTCAGGCACTTTAAAATTCCGTAGAGAATTCACGGAAAATTCCAATATTATAGGGGTGTTAGGGTGTGAAATAAACACCGACTAACACTAACCCTATCCCTCCCCCCCCCCCCACCCCTCCAATCCCATAACATTGGACTTTCCGGTTTTTCCTGGAATTCCCTACGGAATCTTGGAGTCCCCGAGATGGGCTGAAATAAAATAAAAGAACCTCAGACACAGACAACCACACATTGTCCGATCATTTCTAACACGCGACGCAAAATATCCATTACTAATGCGCTAATATTCACACATATTGTAAGAAATCTGTTTCCTCACGACTGGTTGCAGTGGAAGATCATGAACGACAGACATGTTCCACGCTTGTTTCTTCTTGGCCAGACAGCAACGATTCACACTTTAACAGTCTACATTAGATAAAAAACCTTTACTCAAAGAAGGAAGAAAACAATGTAATGCCTGGAAACCTTTAGTCTAAGTTATACGACAAAGGAGACAGCGATATATTGAGCACATCCTGAAGAAAAGAGTACAGTAATCACAAAAAAAAAGGCACTGAAATTTACAACATATGGAATAAGGATACGACGATTTCAAACAGAAACGAAAGATCTAAAGTTGATGAGAGAGAGACCACACGTGCTTGGTTGGATTCCTTACATGTTGTAGAGAAGAACTGAATTCAGAGGACGGAATTGAACACTGGCATAGACTGCGAGCCCTGAATTGAACAATGGCAAAGACTACGATCCCTATCTCACACATACATGAAGTAGGTAAAAGTAAAGATTCCTTTTCACGCCTTTAGACGTATCGAGTAAATGGGAAGAGCGCCTATATTTTTACATACCATCGGAACTAGGTTGGTAATGTGGTCAGCATTACGTCGGCCGTCTTTATTTTCACAAAACAGCCATCCTGGTACCCATTTTAGGCTGGGTCGACCTACGACGCCCCATACCATAATAAAAATCCAGGCAACCAGCAGTGGGTTTCCATCCTACTTATACATGTCACGACATAATCATGATGACGATGATGATGATCATAATGATGCCATCCTAGGTTTAATAATTTGTATGTGATTATTCAACAACAAAAGAACAATAGTAAACTAACACAGTATTGGTGACATCAGCCGCCACACGCTGAGAAAGATACTGAAGATGGGATCCGAACGCTTGTGAACTTCTCAGATGTGCAATGATGATGATCGGTCGATTAGGTAACTAAATAACTAAATAAATATTGAACTGTGTTACGAAATAATCATGTAAGATCCGAATGTTGTCTTTGTTCAACAACAACAACAACAAAAAATAAGCTAAGTGTTAACGCCACATGTTAATCACTAACACCCTCATTGTGACCCTACATGGCAGTGTTTTGTATCATTTTTTTTTTTTTTTAGTTACCTTTTATCGAGGTTAATCTGTTACTATCAGTCTGCCCTTCACAGTAAAGTTTATAACCGTGTCAGTTGTTTTTTATGTCGCCGAAGCATTTGATTACTCTTCTTTCATTCTCAGACTCTACAGAAACTACGTAGTTATTTATTATCGCAAACAAGTTGTCTAACGTAGGTAATTTCACGCAGATGGCGTGTGTGGTTTCAAAAAAAAATTAAATATGTTCAGCAACGTTTGAAAAACAATAAAAGGTATTTGAATTAAACATAATCACACAGTTTTAAATTTGTCGTTCACAAAAAAGAATCATTTTAAGCGTCCTTTGAACGATCTTACGTAGCTTCAGAATTAAAATATTGACCGGTGAGTATCTCAAGCAATGTTAAACATTTTATATTGTTCTATGTCTGTAACATTGAAAAGCCGAGAGAAACTACCTGATGTAGATTTACTCTTTCACGACCAGAGACAACATTTTTGAGATTTTTAAATTGTCCGTAGAGAATCTTCTGTGCTGAATTATTTGGAGTGGCACAATGGGATTTTCGCATATTTGGAAAAGCCACACGTGGCCTAAGCTAGTTATACTGACTATTTGTGCCTTTTGTTTTACTGACATGTCTATGGCTTCAGAGATTGGTTCTCGTCAAGACAAAAAGCCAATTAATGTATTACTATTGCTTCCAACGGACACCAAGTATATGTTTACCCATGCTCTCATGTTTCCGGCTTTGGAGATTGCCATGGAGAAGTTAGAATCTAACGATTCTTTGCTTCGAGATTACTACCTCAATGTATCTTACGAGGACACAATGTGCCATGAAGCGGTAAGTTGATTTTTGTTTTTGTTTATGTGTTTCTTTTGTAAATGTATGAGTGTTGTCATTAGAGGCTTGTGAACGTTATGTCGAAGTGGTGAAAGATGACCAAGATGAAAATAGGATGTTTTTTATGCCCTGGTACTATTTGCCACAACGAGCCACACTAAAACGTTACAACGGGTATAGAGCGAGTGGAAGACCTCCGAAAATATGGAGTAAGGTAATTAAGAACAGCCATACAGAAATGAACATCAGTCTTAATAGTGCTCTTGACAGAGCTTATCAACAACTGCTACATCTCCCAGCGACACTTCGATGAGATACAAGGTGGAGAAGAAGAAGAAGAAGAAGAAGAAGAAGAAGAAGAAGAAGAAGAAGAAGAAGAAGAAGAAGAAGAAGAAGAAGAAGAAGAAGAAGAAGAAGAAGAAGAAGAAGAAGAAGAAGAAGAAGAAGAAGAAGAAGAAGAAGAAGAAGAAGAAGAAGAAGAAGAAGAAGAAAGAAGAAGAAGAAGAAAAAAAAGAAGAGACAAAAAAAAAAAAAAAAAAGAGGGTAAAAAAAAGAAAAAAGAAAAAGAAAAAGAAGAAAAAGAAGAAGAAAAAGAAAAAGAAAAAGAAGAAAAAGAAGAAGAAAAAGAAGATGACGGATCTTAGGGATTCATTTGACATCCTATAGGATAGAGAATTCATACATTGAAAGAATAATTCACTAGGAGTTAGGGGCGTTTCTAGAAGATATTCAACGCTGAGGGAAACATAGGCGGACTTATAATCAGGTTGCAACTAGTACTATGCGTGTGTCGACACTTAGGTGGTTAGTGAAGAAAGTGACGGAGCTCATGTGTAGAAAGATCTTGAGCGCATGATGTCAGTTCTTGATACATTCGCTCATTGTGATCTTAAATATTACAGAACGAATTTAAGATAATCAGGAATACGAAAAAGAAATGTTTGACTTTGTTCGACATCCTAATACCATAATACACGGGAAGACAATTGTACACTGAAACGCACCTGTCGACAAATGGCAATACTGTTACGAATGACGAAACATTTGTCAAACGAACATGCTCTGGAAATTACAAAGGAACAAAAAAAGAAACAGGTGTTAAAAGGTTGCGGTAGGAAGAAGACTTTTTAAAGCAGTGGTGCGGAAACTTGGTCAGATATTCTTCAGCGTCTGAGATGTGAAGTACGTCAGTCTTAGAGAGAGTACTAAATGACGCATGGTTTGCGAAATGAGGTTGCAGTTTATGCAGGACGACATGTCTAAACCACACCCAAGTTGATCTGTAAATACAGCTGTACATCACACACACACACACACACACACTCACATACGCACTTACACGCACCACACCTCACACACACACACACACACACACAACTTTGAAAGTTGGAATGATTATACAATTGAACTGCAGAACAAAAGGTTTGTGCGGGTTAAATAGGTGCTAATGTGGTTGTTGTTGTTGATGTTGTGATGATGATGATGATAATGATGATGATAATATTTTGGCACAAACGTTTTGTCTGCACTTTTTAAAATCTTTACGCAATCCTTTTTAAAAGAATTGGTGATACCATGCCACTGGCCTGTGCAAACACATGTATATGAGTGCATCTTGCCAAATATATACATATTCATAAAGTTTAGGCTCAAATAGTATCCTAACATGTTTACACGATAATGCTTTGTTTGCTAGGGACACAAGGAAAAGAAACTAAAATCTTGTATAATCTAGACATCATAGTAGTCTTATCATTAGCAACAAGCCTCAAAGACCTAAATACCATTGGTTTGGAAATAATCCCTTCTGAGATTAGGTGTGCCAGAAGAAGAATCAGTGGTTGGTCATCGTAAGGATGAACATCGGACATTCGACACTACACTAGGCATAAATATGCTTGTGTTTCATCGACCAGCTATTGAGTTTAGCGCAGGGGAGATACCGTGTGCTGTGGATTTTACATGAAGTCTTTTCGACAATGGCACATTTGGTTTGTTTTGTAATATGGACATTTAAACCATGGCCAGGTGGCTGGGCGCTACAAATGGGGCCTTATGCAACAATGTAGTGGCAAAAACAGGTCTGTTCGTGACTGTTTCTTTCCAAGACGATCAACTGCATTTGCATTGTGTTGTTACTGCCATGTCTAGTATTTGGCTTATGTATTTTATACGCCGGCGGGCTGTTAACTTTGCCAGTACTGCAGAGTGTAAAATTTTCTTTGCATGACATTATGCGTGCTTTTTTTTCCTGCTGTCACCGAATCTGAACATGAACTCGAAAGACAGATTCTCATCCGCCGAATGTAAAGGTGAGAAGATCTGCAAAAGATGTCGATACTTGATGATGATAGGAATGTAAAGCACCAAGACTATGATCAACAACCTTGTCATACAGTTTTACCATGTATGATCCTGGTGCGGTATACTGATTAGTGTCATTGCTTGTCGGATCGGAAGTCATGCATTCTTATCCTCATTAAGTTTGATCTGTGTTCAAAGGATTAATCTTGGATCCAATGTTGATTCAGATTTAAATGAGTATCAAGAAATATTATTTGAAGTAAAGTTGACTGACGTGATGTAAACAACACAATGACTCAGATACCATATACAAATGGAGTGAAACTAATCTTTTTCATTGCGCTTGCCTACCTCAGAAGCGACAGAATATTTGCTTGTCAAACAGCACACCTAAAGGATGCACCTTGTCTCATAATGGACATTATATTATCCAAAACAATCCTTATCTGAACAGGGTTACAGGCTACACCTGTCTAGTGTAGCCGTTATTTTTGTCCCATTTATAACTTCGCTAAGGATGAATATGGTGTCAGAGACTGGTGCTGTAGGCTTGCTATTCAGAAAGAGATGTTTGCAAACTCTAGTGGTATCATCTTCAGGTTGCACCTCTGAAAGAAACAGATGGACTTTCCAGAATACTACTGCATATGTCATGGCCTTGAACGTTTAAATGCCTTATCACCTCACACTCCAAAGGCAGTTTCTGCTATGGGACCACCTTCACAGTTCCACCTTTACGTCTTTCCAGACGATCGTGTTCAATGCGAAATAGAGAGTCGTGGGAGTCACAGACCGTGGCGATACAAGTGATAGTCTGATGTGCATTTCTTTTTCACCGTAGCACAAAGCCTGTGCAGCATTATACCAACTCTGGCATCCTTCTCTAAAGAAAAGGTAACACGAATATGTTTCGAACTATGCGTGCTGCATGATCATAACAGCAGTGCTCTCTGGGCAGGCTGTCGGTGCTTCCTTTATTATTCTTTTACAACTCAAGGCTAAAGACCTTGGCTACCTTCCAGCCACACTAGTGCAGTTTGTTGTCGTATGATAATGCTAGCAACATCCCTAATGCGCTCCACTCAAAACCGTTGGCACAAGTGGGACGTCAGGATTGGTCGACGTTGCCCAACATTCGGCGTTTATACATATTAGGTAGTCCCGACCACTGTTGTATTGTAGCTTATTTATATATAATAAAAACCTAATTAACATTCATTGTATGCTGATTTCTAATGTAGCTTTCCATGCACAAATATATGTTCTATAATACTAACCATTTTTTAATCCACAGTTGTAACTCATTATATTACCATTTTGTCTACTAGATGGGAATGAAGTATGCCATCGAATATTACTTCGTTAAACTCGTCGATGTGTTCTTTGGACCAATATGTGATTATACCGTTGCTCCACTTCTGCGTCAAGCCACATTCTGGAATCTACCAATGGTCACTGTTGGTGCCAACGCCTGGGGATTTACCAAATTCAGACGGACAGTGTTTCCAATGCTGACGAGGGTTGGGCCGGTCAATCACTACTCTCTGGTCAATTTCTTCTTAGAATATGTGGGGCGCTACAACTGGACAAAGGTCAGATTGGTAAGTACCTTATATTTATAAAAAAAAGATTTCCACAAATAATCTTAGATAAAATACTTTTATATATATATATATATATATATATATATATATATATATATATATATATATATATATATATATATATATTATATATATATATATATATATATATATATATATATATAGCAAAGGGAAACTATCACATTAGTATCATCATGGAAGCCAAGAATTATAGCAGAAGGCATGGTACCAGGAAGGAAGGGCAGGGGCCGACCAATACGAAGATGGGCACAGGATATAAGTGACTCCTTGAGTACAAAAGTACATGAGGCGGGAAATTTGGCGAGAGACCGAGTATATTTCATGCAAACAGTGATGAGAGCGACGTTGTGCAAAGGACCTGCTACGTGATGATTATAATTATATATATTTATATCTTTTTAGCTCCCTCTCTTAAGCTTACTCTCTTTCATACAATATGTTCCTCATACATACAATCTGTATCCACCACACGCCCTTTTCTCTCTCATAAAGCCCAAATTTTAACACATTCCTTCTTTCGCATACAACTTTCTTTTCTCTCACACAAACTCGCATATTCCTTTTCTCACTCAAACTCATTCTTCAGTTAGTCATAGTTGTAGTTGAGGTTTCAGTTTCTCTGCGATCGGCTCTGCCATTTTTTGCTCGGTTCCTGTACAAAGGAAATTAAATGAAATTGACCCTCGTTGACCCATTTGAAGGACTGGTGGACAAACATTTAGTCCTGGCACAACCCCCCCCCCCTCCCCCCCCCACAAAAAAAATGCACACACAGTGAATGCATGAGGCAGTTGCCAAAGGCGCCAAAACTAACAGTCGCCATCATAAATGCAGTTCGTCATTGATAGAAGCAGTCAGTCACGATAAGTTGGCTACCCACACGTACAATTATTGCATACGGTATTTCACTAGCCCACATATAAACCAGCTACTGATCATATTTAATACCACAACCTGACAGTCGCAAAAATAAAAAGAATTCCACATGAAAAACTCAGCTCGCAGTGTTGCACCAAGCATTTAAATCAGTAGCTTAGGCAGCAAAACAGTAGACTTCCGCCTATATAAAAAAAAAAATGTAATTGCAAAGAGCTGTCAGAAACATAGAAACTTCGAAGCCATACATTCTGTCATGCCTAGTAGCTTCCTCACAATCTATGTCACGCTGACTCCTCTGCACACCGTCTTCCCTCGTGTATATTAACCTGGTGCCCTATGTTTCTTCTTATTATATATACCATGTCCAGCCCTCGGTAACGTGTACCCTCAAGCATTTATGACCCAGATGACCATCCATGCCATCATTCCAAACTATCCAGCATATTTTTTGGTGGTCTCAGTTGGCCTCTCTCACTTCCAACTTTTCTATTGCCAGCCTAGTTTTCTCGTTCACATGACGCTTACACTACGTAGCATAATATGTTAAATGTATGCATTTCTTCCTCCCTACACAGTCTAAGAAAATAAACCGATCTCTGTTAGTAAAACCAACATCAGTCTGAAATATAAGGAATTATTTCACTACTTTCCACCTAAGGATTATTTATTGGGAACCTACGTTACAGCAAAAAGTGTTGTAACAAATGTCTGAGATGGAAATAGTCAACAATTAGTAAACATTCAACCTATTTTATTCAGTCCCAGTGCTGCATTAGTTGAATTCAATGTTTCCTGTTTGCTGGTCAAAGGACCACTGTGGGTAAGAGGATTAGTAGTTAATGGGCCGTGATATCTATCATTCTTGTGATAAAACCTTAATCATTAGAATGCAGTCCTGTTTGGGATTCTTATATTTATATTGGACAAGATTTAATTGCCCAGCTTTGACCGGAATAGTGAAAGAAAGTCTTATTCTCCCATACTCTATCTCATCTTGATCTCACGGCTGCCCTGTATGTAGACCTAGTGGAAACAGGGCTCTAACTAAAATGTTGTATATAATACCATGTTTTCTACTTCTTTTTTGTTTCCACCGCTGCAGTACCTTAAGTCATTGCCCCTAAGTGTACCTGAGGCATCCCCTAACACCAGTATTTAACAGTTTGGGAGACAGTCATATACAATTTCTAGACACATATAGGTATTTAGTTTCAATTTAGAGAATACAGTGACGACTGGGAAGATCAGCGGTAGCAGAGGGAGAGTCAGACCGAAAGAGATGATGACGAATCGATTGTGTTTGTTGCACAGAAGGTTATCATCGGTGGGAATTGATCCAGAATATATGGCACTGAGATCTGTAAAGATGCATGAATGCCTACGGTAGACAGCAAGGCACTTAATGGTGATAAACGAGTTCTTATGATGTTACAGGAGGGAAAAAGGGGTGTCTTTTAAATAAAAACTCGGAAGTAAGGCGCAGATGTACTGATTAAATCAAATAAGGAGTTAGATAACCATGACAAGTAACGTATAACGGTAGCAGACATATTTTGTTTCAAACCTCTATATTCCGGAGTTAAAGGCGCCTAGAACTCAGGGGTCTAGTCACTTCCTATACGCCACCCCACATATATTTATGGGTTAGAGAGGTCAAGCTTCCGCTAGAACAATTGTCAAGAAACTAAGGCCTTCTCCGATCCCTTTTAGGATTGTATCTGTCCCTAAGAGAACTGCCTCGATTTTGTTTCTATCACTCGATGGTATTTATTGTTCATAGAATATCATAAAAATGATCATTGCAGGGTGGATGCATCTTCTTCTTCTTAATGTCCATGCTGTGTGGTGTTGGCAGTCGTGTGTATTCACAACCCCTGACACAGATAATTCCACCATGCCATAATTGCAAACTGTCCAGTATCTGTTCTCTTGGTCTCCCTCTTCCTCTCCTCACGGGCAACTTCCTAAATCGCACAAATGCCATTCAAAGTCAGTTGCATACAGTTTTCGACATCGCTATATGTATCGTTTGTTAGTCATTTTATGAGAGGAGGAAAAATGAAACTCGTTGTTACCACTGGAAAGATTTTTGGAAGGAAAGAGAGGGGAGGACAACGCGAGAAAATTCTTGACAGCCTTTTGTCACGGCATGCAGGTTTTCAGCACACGAACACGGAGTTGCGGATCGCGGGTTGTGAAGAGGTATGACCGCACACGCCAGTCGGCAAAGCACTCGATGATGATGATGATCATGATGATGATGATGATGATCATCATCATCATAAGCGTCGTAACGCTCAGTGGGTGATACGACTAAATTTTAAAATACCTAGCATAGCCACACAACGGCACGTGAATACTGAGACAAGTCTAGGCGCTTTTTGTTAAGGACTTGCAACCGATGTCTTCTTCTTCTTCTTCTTCTTCTTCTTCTTCTTCTTCTTCTTCTTCTTCTTCTTCACTTCCTCTTTTACCGCTGTGGGTGTCGAGGGAGATATAAGGTTCCGTCTCTAGCTCTTCTGGCCGCCTCGACTATAGACACGTCGTGCTGTTGTAGAGTTTCTCTGATGTTATCCTTCCATCTTGTTCTTGGTCTACCTCGTGCTCTACGTCCTTCTTCTCTTTCCATGTATGCTTTGTATGGTATGGTGTCACAAGGCATTCTCTCTAAGTGGGAAAACCATTTTACTTGCTGTCTTTGTATGTAATTTAGAATTGGTTCTGTGCCGACTTTTTCTCTTATGATCTCATTTCTGATCATATCTCTTATGGTCACTCCTACAGCCCTTCTCAGACATCTCATCTTTATGGTTACTGTATTATTATGTTTTGAAATAATGTAATTGAGAATGTCGGAGGATCAGTTTTGTGTCTGGCTGTGTCCAGTGAGGCTCTGATTTATGAGTTGTGAGTTGGGAAATCTTCTCGGCATTTCGGACATCTCCATCCGTCTGATTCCTGACACCACCTTTGAACCTCGCACACAGTAGGAATTCCTTTTCTTCCGTCAGTGACCTCTCTCGGATATTTACGAAACACCTGCACTACCAATCCGAACTAGAGTCTGAAGAGAGCTCACGACCAGAATGTGTACGAACGTCCTAATCCTTTTCGCTAGCTATGCCCTAGTCATTGCAATTAAACTAAGTTTGCTCAGGGGCAACACTGTTGAAAAAAGGGATAGGTGCGGTTCATAGGCCCAAACGATGCATAGGAAGACCATTAAAACAAAACAAATGGCAATGATTATAGGACCAATAGATAGGCTTCCGCGAACCAGATGTGACCCAAGGGCCGCGAGTTGCATAGCCTTCCAACATATACCCCTCCATGAAACTGGTGATATCGTACGTTTGTTCTGAACGAAATACATCCAACTTTCGTTACTTTTTTTTTTTTTTTGGGCCGTTTTATTCCACCACTACACTATCATATATTTTCTTTATATTTTTCATTACTGTTGTTGTATGTGCTTCTCGCTGCTCACTATAGTGAAGGCATTTTGCATTGTTTAATAGATGCTCTTGTTGAATTTCCATTAATTTGTATGTATAAGTCTCCCGAACCTGCTGTACATAGTATTCATTTTTCGCTGTCTATCTCCCCCCCCCCCTAAACCTCCCCCTACCCCACCCCCCACCAAAAGTGTATTCTCATTTAAAGCGATATTCCTTGAGGCATTGAGTTTTTAATTCTCCCTTTCAAAAACTCCCCAGTTCTTCATTTTTCATTTCAAGCTAAAATTGCAAATTTATAAAATATATTCAGGCTTAGTTTTTATTTTCATTTTAAATTCCCAACTTGCTTTTCTCGCATTGATTAGCCAAGAATATTTTAACTATGTCCAGATGTTGCTTCCTAATATTCGATGGACTCTGATTTATTGCTTACCACAAACAAAGCTAATGATTGCTAGTAACACGGTGGCTAGACTCTAGCCTAACGATCAAGAGGATTTGGGTTTGAATCAACATATAAATAGTGTAGTTTTGTAATTGGCGTAGCGACTACATGCAGATACAGTGCAAAACTGGTACCAGGAAATGTGATGGATTATTAGTGTGGCTAGTGATGACATCAACCATCACCTGCTCAGACACACAGACGACTGGTATTTC